CAATGACGCAATTTCTAAAAATAGAAACAATGACGCAATTTCAATAAATAGCACCAATGACGCAATTTCTATAAATAGCAACAATGAGGCAATTCCTAAAAATAGAAACAATGACGCAATTTCTAAAAATAGAAACAATGACGCAAATTCTATAAATAGCAACAATGACGCAATTTCTAAAAATAGCAACAATGACGCAATTTCTAAAAATAGCAACAATGACGCAATTTCTAAAAATAGCAACAATGACGCAATTTCTAAAAATAAAAACAATGACGCAATTCTATAAATAGAAACAATGACGCAATTCTTGTTGTTGTTGTTGTAAATATATATATATACACACACACACCAATAAATATATAATTATGGTCATTTAATGCACAAATCTGAGAAAATTCAGTAATTTAACCTTCAAGGTCAAGGTCATTAAAGAGCCCAAGCAAATTTGGGTTTGATAAACAACGAGGTCTGGTCCCTTAGAATGTTCTGTTATAATATGAAGTTGATCCCTTCAATAATAATAGCTAAAAGTTACAGTCAGTTACCGCCAAAACAATGAAAATTTCAATAATTTGACCTTCAAAGACAATGTCATTAATGAGTGAAGGTCAAGGTCTTTCGGTATATTTTTAACAGTTATCTTTGAAGATTATTATGTTCAAGTTTCAAGACAATCCATTCAAAAATAACAAAGTTACAGCCAATAATAGCCAAAAAAATGAAAATTTCAATAATTTGACCTTCAAAGTCAAGGTCATTTATGAGTGAAGGTCAAGGTCTGGCTGGTTATTTTTAAGGGATATCCTTGAAGATTATTATGTTCAAGTTTGAAGACAATCCATTCAAAAATAACAAAGTTACAGCCAATAATAGCCAAAAAAATGAAAATTTCAATAATTTGACCTTCAAAGTCAAGGTCATTTATGAGTGAAGGTCAAGGTCTGGCTGGTTATTTTTAAGGGATATCCTTGAAGATTATTATGTTCAAGTTTGAAGACAATCCATTCAAAAATAACAAAGTTACAGCCAATAACAGCATGAACAAGCAAAAATTGGACTTTTAACCTTGAAGGTCAAGGTCATTTATGGATGAAGGTCAAGGTTAGTGTGGTCTACTGAAAGGTCTTGTCCCAAGGGTTGTTGTGGCCAAGTATGAAGACAATACACCAAGAAATAAAAAAGTTATGATCCAGGTACAAGTTTGCGGACGGGAACGGCAACGGCAACCTGACTATAACAATACCTCTACTATAACAATACCTCTACTTTTTTTTTCAAAAAAAAAAAAGTCGAGCTAAAAACTGAAAAAAGATGTTTAATAAAAACATTTTATTTTTAACTCTTTCACATAAATTTTGCATATAAATTTATTTACATATTCTGTATAAAACTGAGCACAGGATAAATGCATGTGAAATGTTAACATGACAAAGTTAAACAGTAAAACAAAAGTTTTTTTTAAGAGGTTTTACATATTAATTGAAAAGTTACTGGTACCAAGACTTTTAATTAATATTATATGTGAATGGCCATTCAGCCATCTTAGGACTTTTGGATAACTGAACCATATTGTCAAGGTCTGGATCGTGAATATCTGAGTGTCCCAGTAATTGTTATACAGCACTAGAAAATATTGTCTAATAGTTTGTATGAATTAATACTAATTACTCTAGTACCTGTTGATTATTTGTTGAAAGTATTACAAAACGACCAAGGAATGTGACCTATAGACGTTCTGTCATAAATTTATCAAAATCATTTTAATATGAAATAAGCCATGTTAAGCCCTCAGTTCTGATAACAAATGGCTACTAAGACAAAATTGAATGTTCGCTGAATGATATTCTTTTATTTATCACTGACAGATAACCCAGTGTGAAGAGAGTAACTGAAACAAACTGATATAATCTTGTTCCCCTAATCGAAAGTATGTCTATAAGCTTATACATTTTTGTAGCTTCCTACACAATCAAACTAAAATAAATTCTGTATAAACCAATCTAAATATGAACCAAATTTTCCAAAACCATGTCTTTTTTTTGGGGTTGGGTTTTATGTCACATATAGGTCATATGGTGACATTCCAGCTCTACTGGTGGAGGAAGAACTAAGGTGCCCTTCCATGCATTATTTTAGGCACAAACAGGTACTAGAGTAGAACCACTGATGTTCAGTTAGCTAAATGTAGCTGGATAACTTCCTCATGATAGAATCCTAAGTCCCTGTCAGGATTAGAACCAACAGCCATGAGAGACAAGTAGTTTGAGGTCAACAACCATAACCATTCAGCCACGGACTCCTTTGACCATGAAGCGCAACCTTGACCTTAAAAGGTACTGATGTGGGCCTTGCAAATTCAGATACATCCGACAGAATTTGACCTTTGAACTGAAGTATGACCATGATCTTGATGGTGCGGACATGCATCTTGCATGCAACAAATTGTGATAAGACCTGCCAAAAGACTCCAGTCGTAATTAAGACTACACATGTAGTATAATTATGACAAATCACTAAGTTCAATCACATGCTGTTAATAAATTTAAGGTATATTAATTAAATTAATAAATCAAGGTATAATATGAAATCTTCCTTATATGATATTTGAGAAGGAACAGGGAAGCAAATAGACTGCAGTCGTGCCAGTCAAGGAAGAAATCCACAATCAAAATATATCATTTCAGTATAAAATCAAATGTTATCATCACATGACTTTTAATTGCTTACTGATAATTAATAAATTAGCCTATGATAAAAGGGAAAGTCTGACAAGATAAAAGGGAAAGTCTGATAAGATAAAAGGGAAAGGTTTTTTTTTTAAGATAAAAGGAGAGTCATGCCCTGAACCTGCTGACTTTGTAACATAGATTGTCCTGCTTTATATTTAGAACAGTCCATTCAAAGTTTGTAAGCTTTGGGGGAAGATTTTTAAGACTGAATTTTCAAATTCTATTTTTAGCTCTGATGATTTACTTGATACATATCAAAATGGAACCTGTTTATATAACTTTTGTAGAAGGTCACTCATAAGGTGAATTCTCCGGCTTGCAAAATCTTATCTGCATGATCAAGAAAAAGTAAGAAAAGTAAATAATAAAAAATACTTTTTGATGATAATTTTGTTTAATTGAAGCATCAGATAAGGAATACCCATTCATTAGAAAATGAGAATTGTCCCAAACAAATGAATTGATAGATCTGTACTCTGACCTTTCATTTGAATAACAATAGAATTAACCACAAATATTGAATTAATTATGCTCTTTTGTTTACAAATAGAATGTGGTGAAATTCTTATTGTAAGCCATTGTATTTAATATAATAATCTGAATTAGACATATCAGGGACTCAGGGTCATGTTAGAATCTATACATGTACATTGAATGTTGGGAGAACATCATTTTTGCCCTTCCACAAAACTATATTCATCCAAATTTTGAAGCAAAGGTAACAATACTCAATCTAGGGCACATAAAATTTGTAAACACTTGTAATTCTTACTTAACTGTCAGGACACTGAGACTAGAACCCAATTGAATGAAATTGTTGCAAGATTATACAATCCCCCAAAAAATTTCTTGTACATATAAACAATTTTAATTCTACTTATACAGATGAAAAAAGTCTGAAATGAAATGCATTAAAATTTATCATATTTTACTTAGCACCTTAAGACATACAACAAACATTTACTATACATAAACATAAATGTTTATTTAAAATATTTACACAATTGAAAAGAAGAAAATATTTCAACCACTTCATTCATAAATAAAACAGCACCCCTGCATAGATATTTACTGAAATCATTCTGTCCATGAGACAGATTTTGAAAATTGAGTATGTTACAAAAATGTACCTACATACATGTATACAATGTAGAACAATGTACATTAAACACATCAGTGCTGTAGAGGATTGTATCTGGCTTGATCTACAAGTGACTTCCTCATATGTTGGATCAATTCAGATACAATATGTTTTTTTCTTTGGCATGCCTTAGTATTAAAATAGTTTCTTTAATATTTACCTACCTGAATATAGATGAGTCTAGCATTAATTTTGGAATTTTTTATTTATTTAGTACTTAAAAGTTTCAAGAAGGATTTATGCTCCAATTTCAAACTGATAAAATCATATAAACAAGTCATCACAGTACATAGACCAGTGTTTTTTTACCATATATAACATAGGCCAATAAAAGCCCTCTTTCCAATCAAAACTTTCTTTAAAATCATACATTTTTCTAAAAAAAATTCACTTACAATGCACATGTACACCCGTTTTTTTCTTTCTTCCCAAATAAGCAATTTTAAGATAATTTCCCCCAAAATCAAAAGGCTAAGGCCAGAGAGACAGAGGTAAGATTATATGGATGGTGCAGTCTATTTAGGTGGCAAAATACTCAAAAAGTTGTTATGTCTTTACTCTCCAACTTTAAAAGCAAATAATGATTGTCCATACTTAACATAATACCATACCCAGACTATGGTATAATTTTCAGTTTTGAAGATCGAAGGAGTAAGTGTTTCTGGGCGGAGCTATAGGTTAAAACAGATACACCATTGGTGCGTGGACAATTTCTGGGTTTGCGTAAATTATACCATAATCACATGACCTTTCTTATGCAACCTCACTCGACTTCGTCTCGTGAGGTCAAGGCATAAGAAAGGTCACGTGATTATGGTATAATTTACGCAAACCCAGAAATCGTCAACGCAGCAATGGTATATCTATTACATATTCTACCTTCATACTGTATGTTTTCATGATCACTGTCATTTTATATATACTGTATTCACTTTGACACAAACTATCTACATTTTTTTCAAACAATATATTTTATAAGAATATCCAAATGATACATTGCTATTGTTTTTATCAATATTTGAAATATTTTTGTTGCAAATTCTGCCCTGGCATTGTAGACCAATCCACTGTAACCAAAGGACAGTTATTCTATCCTAGAAATACATGTAAAATAATCGGGTACAAACCTGCCAATATTCTCTCCTACGATGTACTTGTCTGTTAGAGGGTCGGAGATGATGCTTGTACTTGGTGTATATACAGCACTGTCATTTGTAGATTTGATTGCATTGTGGTAATGAGGCAGGTGAGGTCCGTTCTTTATTGACATTATCCCTTATTTTATATCCTAGTTATATTTTTCACATTAAATTCTTCACCATTCTTTTATCTGAATAAAAAAAGAGATTTATTTTTTCAACCTTAAAATTATTATGAACTTAATCAACAAACCCAAAAATACATTTTATAATAATGTTGGATATTAAAGACAGACTCAATAAACAATGAAAAACAAGTTTAGTAAAAGCACAACCATGTAATAACATTAGTTTAGTTCAATAAAGCAGTCACAAATGGAAATGAGGTTGTCTGAAATGCAAAATTTGAAAAATCAACAGTGGCATATGACTCTAGATAACCAACTAGAGATTCTTTGCTAGAACATGTAATAGATTCTAGATTTCTACTATGTAGAAGTACATGTACAAAATGTAGGTCATTGTGTCACATGTGGTCTCATTCAAGGTTAAACTTTGATATCCCTTCAACCCTTAACCAATCTATCTCTGAGAACTGCCAACCACTCTCATGAGAGAGGCATGGAATAAGTGTGGGTCGGATTATTAGTAAAACTTCTAAAAGGTGAAAGAAAAGTAAGTGCAAATATTGTTAAATTGCCAAGAAAGGCGATACTGGAAAAGAATTCTAGTTATGGTTAAAATGTTAATAGTGAGGATAAAATAGTTAAAAACACTGGAAGCAAGACTAATACTGGCAACCCTACTACTGCCTGTTTGAACTGACTTACATGTATATTGAGAGGGGTGAACATGTTGCTAAGGAATTATTCCATAATACATTATGCTATGTGAAAGAAAAAATACTTATAGTTATAGTAGTGGGAGGAAACCTGTATTTGACATATGGATACATGTATTTAAGGGGTGCATATTATGTCTGTTTAACCTTGTGGGGCTTAGACTTAAGGTGGGAGAATAATTGCAACTAGGTTGGAACTGTCCATTTGGAGTTTTAATAGTAATACAGGATTTTGATATCAAATAGAAAAAATTGTGTTACCAACATTCTTAATGTAGAAACTGGTCAGATTCATTAATGTGCAGTTTGGCTCTATACAGCATTACAGGTGATATTAAAAGGCGAGTCAATTAGGAGAAGTTGACAGTAAGGTGAATTACTTAGTCCTTCATTGAAAGATTTCTCATCTTATTTTCATAGTTTTAAGTTTATAGGAAAATGCAAATTAAAGAGGATTTGACCAATGTGAAAAATAGCTTCAATTTGCAGTTTATGTATAAACTTTTGGACTAATAGTAACAAAGATTGGTTCTGAATCTGAATTCACTTTGTTCACAGTCAGAATCTGGCTTTGAAAGAAATATTGCCTATAATATGTAACAAGGAAGTGGACATAAAATAACATATGCATTTTCGACTTTCATATAATTCTGAAAAGTGCCATACAACTAGACAATACAGTGTGTCCTGGCTAGCCGTACATGACATGGTATGGCTAAATTTTTTAACTAAGGCCCATCGCTACACCCCTATTTCATAATCATATCATTAATTAATGCTGCATATTTCAACATTTTTAATTTTCCAATGTTTTGTTAAAGTCTATAAATAATCTTTACTAATCTCTGTAGCAAAAAATTTCCTGAACATTAGACATGATTTAAAATCCCAATGAATGTGAAATAAACAGCGTGTATTCTACCATTAATTTCTTGAAAATATTATCCCTAGAACAAAACTTAAAAAAATGAATTTCCTTTTAACAAAATATTCAACCTAAAAGCTACCGATAAAGCAATTATAATCCCTCTCTTGTTTAAAATAATTCCATTTTTTCCGATATACTACCGCAAAATACATGCCAATCTTGATTGCTAATTCGACCGCCAACTTTTAGATGACGAAATTTCTAACGGAAATTTATCAAAAACAATAATTCCAGCATGACCCCTTGTTGTTGGAAATAGATTAATTGGTCCGTTAAAAAATTTGGAATCAATTTTGTAGAATAGTTTCTTTCCAGTTTTGGGGGGGCGGGAGCGAAATAGTGGCATGATATTTTTGTATTTAATTGATAAAAATCCAAATTCTCCGCAAGTTTTTGGTTAATTGGATAGATAAACATTGAAAGAACAAAAAAATTTTGAATAAAGTCTTGTAAGGCGTCAACTCACCTCATTTTTAATTTTTTCAAAATGCTACGCGTTTTTGACCAATAACTATTAGACGTCAGGCTTGACCAACATAAAACTATAACAAGCCTGTAACGTCTAATCTATTGGACTAGACATGGTATGGCTAAAACTTTTGGCTAACCATACAGGCCCATGTGGCTAGCCACCTCTATGTAACAATACACAATATCCAGGCTTAATGTAAAATAAGACCTGGCCTATCTTACAACATAATAAAAATATAATAAATTTATGACTCAACTCAAAGAGTAAAATTAGAATTAAGACCAATCCTATCAAATTATATTTTTCATTTGTTTGGGTTTACCTAATCTTTCTTTATTCCATAATTTCCTGTCAAACCCATTACATGATCATACACATCCAATTACAGTGAAATAATCAGTTCTTGAAATTCTAACCATTCAAAAGGCCTTTTCTATGGTAAATATGTAATCCATACCCCACCCACCCATCTTCCGTGTTAAAACTTATAAACAAAAAGAATTGCCTTCTTTCGCATAATATTTCACCACGAGCAATAAAAAGCTACCCGTATATAAAGCAATTACTCAATTTACTTCCAGATCTCTTGTTTAAAATATGTCATATGTTTTTCCGATTTCTTACCTGCAAAATTTTACTTCCAATTTATTTTATATCGACCGTCCATTTTAGTGTACGAAATTGTTCGAACGAATTTCTAAAAATACAATATCCACGCAGTGATCTCCCCTTGCTTGTTGGACAATTTAGAATTTGTCAAAATTGGCACACCGCAATTTAAATAAATTTAGTAGTATATACAGACTTTTTACGAATAGTTTTTGGCCCCCATAGTTTTTCGGGGGGGGGGGGGGCTGAGATAGGGGCCATGAGTCCATTTTTGTATCTTATGACATAAAAACCAAATCTCCCCCACTTCATCTGGATCCGCGCATTCCAATCTACGGATAGTAACATTTTCTAAAAAATAAAAAAAAATGTATTAAATAATGTTCAGTTTCTACTGTACGCGTGCAACCCCTCCCGCCTTTCTCGAGTTATTCCCTGAACTACTTATATTAGTCACCAAGTTCTCGGCTCGTGTACAGCGCATGGTTTCTTAATTTGACCATTTAACTAAATTATGGCATTTTGGTTCTTTTTTTCCCCCAAATATGCATGTATTCAAAATTACTTTGGGCACGGATTTATATTAATTCGTGCTTTCGGGAATGTAATGTATTACACTGCATTAAAATTCATTTTGGCCGCCAGGAACATACAAATGTACATGTATATGTAGCTGAGTCTTTGGAATGTTTGCCGTCATGATCTCTTTATCTCTTGTAATAATTACAGTAAACTTTTATTAAGTAATTTGATAAATACGCGGTTTTATTCCGATATTAAACTGTCTTATTATATGTTGTACAACAATGTTTCAAATTGCTTTGTTGTCGAAGATATGAGACCTGCATAACATGTCTGAAACGTTTGTAATTGCCACAATAACATCTGCTTTTTCCATTTTGTTGGTGAGACCTGTATCGCCCTTCGTTTTTAAACCAATAAAACCCACAACATAATATTTTGGAATTGAAATTAATCACAAGTATTAAACAGCAAAAAAGAGATAAGTTATCCGTCTGAAGGTTTAACGGGACTCCAGGACATGACAGTACCCTAGAATTTTGTACCATTTGATGGAGGTCTGAACCAGTAACTTTTGTGCAAATTTTCAGATCATTCTCTCACCATGTTTTTCCAGAATAATTATTTTAACCCAAAAATGAAAAGCGTTTCACTGTTTTTCACACATTCGCGCTTAGAATGGCACTTATACTTACGATTTAGTATATTTTTTATTACCATTTGCAGATATTTCCATATGGTAAGTGCTTCACTTGATCTATGTAAAAAGAATTATTATGTCTGTCTGTCAATACGTGTGTGTGTTTCTCTCTCAGTTTTTTTGTCAATATGGTCGCTATACCAGCAGGACTGCACATCACGATTGTTTCGAGTGACGGAATACTTTATCAAGCCAGCGCTCCCATTTGTAGTTGTAACACCACATTATAATCAATATCACTTGGAACTATTTTATTTAGATTTAAACTGCATCACTTGTACACACATCTGATACAGATTTTTTTTACTATCTTAAATAACCAGTAAAAACTTTTCATAAAATCTATAGTGCGTGCATATGTGCGCATGTCATCTTCAAGAAAACTTCCCTTTCTGTTTGGTTGAGTAAGAATAAAACGACTTAAATGAGACAAAAAGAAATATTTATTTTTTGATTACACATTCTGTTTACAAATCATATCTTTTTCCAAACAAATCATTATCGTTGTTCAAACATTGGTAAAACTTTTTTTTTCAAAATCACGAACTTGTATAATTTCTTCGTCAACATGTTTTGGTATAGATCTAAGAAATGACTAGAAATACATATAAAATCATGACATATTGTGTTAAAAAGTGTTATAAAGTAATGCATCAAAATCAAAATCTTGAGCACAAAATTCTATACTTAAAAATATTTACAAAAATTGACTGATGAGCCATAGAATATATAGAGGATATTGAATGAGTGTAAGTTCAATACTGAATTTATTGCACGAGTTGAATAAAATTATATTATGCGAGCCTCTGGCGAGCATAATATTATTTTATTCAACGAGTGCAATAAATTCAGTAATGAACTTACACGAATTTAATATTCTATTTATCACATACCCAAAATAAAGACCGTTTAAAGTAAAATAAGAGTCATTTTTCATTGACGCGCCTAAAGTATAACGCTAACATTTAGCGCGTCTTTACTCTATGTTTGTTAATGCTAATGACGTCACGTCAAAATATATGCACGGCCGTGCAATACCATATTTACGGAGTCGCAAAATCGGCACTGGTGTGTGATAAGATGATGTATTCACCGGTTAATGTCATAGTGATATGAGATTGTAGCTATTTTTAGATCATATAATAATATAGTTAAGTGTTTGATCTAGACGTACGTACGGTATTATCACTTAAGATAGAGGTAATCACTCTGGGATTAAAAAAAAAAACATATTCAACATCAATATGTCATAAATATAGCTTTTCACGAAAAATAAACTAAAGAAAAGTGAATTGTCATGGTTGGAATAAAAAGACACGAGTTTGAATGAAAAGCATGAAAAATAAACAACAACAAATATTATGTCATGAATAGTATATGTAATATTATTATATGACCTAAATGAGTTGTGAGTGACTTACATATAACAAGTCCAAGGTCGGGGTTATTAGGAAACTCTCTAAGCTCAAGTTCAAATCTCAGGTTTTTGATTGGTTAGAAACTGCCACAGAATTGTGAAAGAACTGGGGAAACAAATTTTATAACATTAAAGGCCAAGGTCTAAGATTATAAAGAAATTATCCAAACTCAAACTCAGAACTAAGGTATATGATTGGTCAAAACTGGCACGGCACGCGCCGTTACATTGAAAATCATGAGACTCAGAAAGTTTTATAACCTCGAGGAATGGACTGTGTTATAAATCAAGTCTATGGCAAGTTTTACATTATCTCCAGGACTATTTTTTTAAAGTTGATGTACATGTATATGAAATGACAGCAAATACAACATAATAGAAATACAACATTTTCTGATATTGTAGAGCTAGAAATTGCTGAAAAAACACAGCAAACTCCACCAAGATAGGCCATTTTTACATGTAAAATAATAAATTACATTGAAAATTCCAATACAATCCTCGGTAGTCCTGGCTATTTACCGTATATACGGAATATGTACTCGTACCGTGGGTTCCGACGATTTTCTTCAATCCCAATAATTACTCTTAAAAAGCAACAACAAAAAGAAACAAACAAGAACTGTCGGTAGGACTGCGTGCTCGACTATTCTCAGTGTTTGACAGTAAAACAAGAGCCTGTATGATGTAAACTTTTCCAACTTCAAACGGGTCATAAATCTGTCAAAAACCATGTCGATCAGAGCTGTGGAGACACTGGCCTCCTTATGCTCTGAAGTTTCAACCCATTCTCTTTTTGTAGTTTTGGTGACGCAAAAAAAAACTTAACAAAAGTGTGACTAGGAGGCTGACTCTTTAGTGAGTACAATACCTATTCTTCGAAAAGTCGAACTAAAAATTGAGCCGCGTCATGACAAAACCAACATAATGAGTTTGCGACCAGCATGGATCCAGACCAGCCTGCGCATCCGCGCAGTCTGATCAGGATCCATGCTGTTCGCTATCAGTTTCTCTACTTGTTATAGGGTTTGTAAGCGAACAGCATGGATCCTGATCAGACTGCGCGGATGTGCAGGCTGGTCTGGATCCATGCTGGTTGCAAACCCATTACGTTGGTTTTGTCATGACGCGGCACAATTGAACTCCACATACAATGTACATCAAATATATGTTTGGTAAAACAGAGTTTTTCTGACGTTTAAATAATAGAAACAACTTGCACAGACAATCAAACGATATGTACAATAATCAAACACATGTATAAACTGACAGACATTATGAAGACAAAATATGAGACATAATAAGAATGTTTGTAAAAAAAAACTCACAACTTTAAGTTTTGTTTATATCAAAAATCTTAAACTCCGCAGCAAATTATTTTAGACGCAAGCATTTTCATATTAAGATGTAATGCTAGAAATCTGGCAAAGGAAAAGAAAATAACACTTCCACATGATTATAGTGTCATATGTTCAGGTGGGAAAAAATTCTACCCTACATACAAAAAGATTGATTAAGGATAAAAAATGTTTCAATACAATACTGTTCTACATATAAATTAATATCTTTGAATTTAGCGGAAAACGTTTCTACATACATTATCTTTGATTCTAAAATTATCAAAAATTTATATAGTATCTATGATTCTGGATAAAAAACACGTTTTTACACAATATCATTCTACATTCAATACCTTTAATTCTCAATGGATTCCCGGTGTAAAAATATTTTGCTGGCAATACAATTGGTTCGGGCGGATGAATAAAATTACATGAAGTACATGTGCATTCAAAATCGTGCAATCGAATTTACCTGCAATATCATTGATTTAGCCGGGCAAAAAAGTCAGCATACAAAATCATTTATTCTGGCAGAAAAAAAGGCAAATTTACATATAATATTTACAGCATTGATTCGGTCGGGAAAATGAGTCTACATAAAAAATAATTTATACAGACGGAAGAAAATCAAGTTAGCATACGATATCAATCATTCGGGCGGGAAAAATGAGTCTACATTCAAAATCATTTGCATTTATTTAGTCTCTTTTCAGGCCGAGGGAAATCGAATCTGCGTATAATATCATTGATTTAGGTGCCAAAATCGAGTATACATACAAAATCATTTATTCAGGCGTTATTTTTTCTTTAAAAAATCGACTTTACATACAATTAATACCTTGATGTAGGATAAAAAATGTTTCGGTTTGTTAAATATGGTTCTACATACCAAATTGTGACGCCGACGCCGTCACCGACGCCTGTGTGTGAGTGAGTACATATGAGCTACGTCACGACAAAACCAACATAATGGGTTTGCGACCAGCATGGATCCAGACCAGCCTGCACATCCGCGCAGTCTGATCAGGATCCATGCTGTTCGCTATCAGTTTCTCTACTTGTAATAGGGTGTGTAAGCGAACAGCATGGATCCTAATCAGACTGCGCGGACGCGCAGGCTGGTCTGGATCCATGCTGGTCGCAAACTTAATTATTATGTTGGTTTTGTCATGACGCGGCTCATATAATCTCTTCCTTTTCTTTAAAAATCACTTAAAAATTTGTTATTTAACATGTTTTATCTATAGATTTCATTTCAGTACATCAGTCAAAACCAAGGTATAACTCGCTAATTGTCAGATTTATCACATTCTACAAATACATATCTAATCATCAACAGTTCCTTTGTAAACAGGATTTTGATTGGATGTCACTGGTGTCTTGTAAATTGGATTGTCAGTCTGAAAAACAAAAAAACAACAATAACATAATAATAATTTAGTCAACTTTGGATAATTGTTTACATGAGTGTATTTTGATCTTTAGATCAGCACTATTTATATAAGTTGTGATACACTTTATTTCAGGGCTGCGTTTCATAGAAAATCTCATGTCTGAAATCAGTCTTAAGACCAACCCTGAGATTATTTTCCGTTTCAAAGTAAATGCCCTTACTTATGACGTCTTTTAATTTCTGAATAGCAATGCTGATAGACATTTTCACATTACGAATAATAGGGTCTGTTATTGTATTTCATAACTTTTCTCAGGAGAATGAATTCATAGAGAGTCTACAGTATTTGACTAAAGATAAAATGTTTAATTAAACGGTCTTAAGTTACTCCTAAAGTTGGTTTCATGTCTTAGGCCTTAGAATACACGTAGGACTTTCTATGACACGCAGCCCTGGATTTGCTCTGTTTCATCGCTAACTTCACCTTGCTCCATTTGGGATCCTGTATCTCGTGTTCAAATTTTGCATACTCAATTTTATCGTAGAAAGAGGTGAGAATCTTCCAGATGATCAACAGTAAAAGTCCGACCCCAATGATACCTCCCAGGACAGGCAACGCTATCAGAAGTGGGTCCGGGGGACTCACACAAACTAAAAAATAAATATATAAAACGTATGGTGGCTGAGTTGTGCCATTTCGTGTCCTCGTGTCTTCGCCCCTCCAGAATCGAAGACGAAGACACGGAATGGCAGAAATCAGCCACCATTAAAGCGTCTTACAACATTACAAGATCAACGCATTTTTCAAATGAGATAAATATAAGGAATCAAATTCGACATTTTTCTATTTCAATTCTGCGACTTTAATGAACATATTTATCGAGAAATGTCACAGACGCCAACATACATCGTTTTACGACGATTATAAGACTTTTTCTGGTCATATCTCAATCGGGGGTCGGTTCACCAGATCGACTTTCCTGGATATCTAACCAGTGATTATCAATTTCTCCGCAAGTGACCAACAACTCATCCCATATCATAATTTCTGATACAGCGATGAAAGACAAATAACAAATGACCATAAGACAGTATGAACATCAGTTGTAACGTCATAAACGCTTGTTAAATATGTAGTCTATGAACTTATATTACAAAGCAACGTTGTATGTGGAAATATTGAAACAATTAATCAGTACGAAACAATCAGTTTTAAATAACCAGTATAAAAACAATCAGTATGAAACAATCAGTTTTAAATAATCAGTATAAAAACAATCAGTATGAAACAATCAGTTTTAAATAACCAGTATAAAAACAACCAGTATGAAACAATCAGTTTAAAATAACCAGTATAAAAACAATCAGTATGAAACACAATCACTATGAAATAATCGGTATGAAACAATAAGAAACAATCAGTATGAAACAATCAGTATAAAATAATCAGTATAAAATAATCAGTATAAAACAATCAGTATGAAACAATCAGTATAAAATAATCAGTATGAAACAATCAGTATAAAACAATCAGTATAAAACAATCAGTATAAAATAATCAGTATAAAACAATCAGTATAAAACAATCAGTATGAAACAATCAGTATAAAACAATCAGTATAAAACAATCAGTATGAAACAATCAGTATAAAACAATCAGTATAAAATAATCAGTATAAAACAATCAGTATGAAACAATCAGTATAAAATAATCAGTATGAAACAATCAGTATAAAATAATCAGTATAAAACAATCAGTATAAAACAATCAGTATAAAATAATCAGTATAAAACAATCAGTATAAAATAATCAGTATAAAACAATCAGTATGAAACAATCAGTATGAAACAATCAGTGTAAAACAATCAGTATGAAACAATCAGTATGAAACAATCAGTGTAAAACAATCAGTATGAACTTACGTTTATTTTTGGCAAGATGTAGATGTATTGTATCATTCTCACAGAGTATGAGGTAACTGATCTGACACTTGTCTTTATCAAACATTCCACATGGCTGCACAGCTATAAGAAAACAAGAGGGCCATGATGGCCCTGAGGTCGCTCACCTGTATATAGCCCCCCCCCCCCAATGTTACAGGGCCAATTTAACCCAAGGGCTTTTATTTGCACAAACTTGGTAGACACCCATAAGAAGATGTTTCATGCTAAACATCTAAGCTCTAGCTCATTGGGCTTTTTAAAAGAAGATTTTTTTAAAGTTTTTACTATACACATATAGATAAAAACAATGACACCCCTGGGGCCGGGCCAGTTTTGACCCCAGGGCTTTTATTTGAACAAACTTTGTAGATACTTACTAGAAGATGTTTCATGCTTAATATCTAAACTCTAGCTATTGAAGATTTTAAGTTTTTGCTATACACATATAAAGAAAATCAATGACCCCCGGGGCGGGGCCAATTTTGACCCCAGGTCTTTTATTTAAACAAACTTTGTAGACACTCACTAAAAGATGTTTCATGCTTAATATCTTAACTCTAGCTATTTGGGTTTTTTCAAAGAAGATTTTTTAAGTTTTTGCTATACACATATAAGGAAAATCAATGACCCCCGGGGCGGTGCCAATTTTGACCCCAGGGCTTTTATTTGAACAAACTTTGTAGACACCTATTAGAACATGTTTGATGCTAAATATCTTAGCCATAGCTCTTTGAGTTCTTTAAAAGAAGATTTTTTTAAGTTTTTACTATATGCATATAGGGAAAATCTATGACCCCCCGGGGCGGGGCCAATTTTGACCCCAGGGCTTTTATTTGAACAAACTTGGTAGACACTTATTAGAACATGTTTCATGCTAAATATCTTAGCTCTAACTCTTTTGGTTCTTTAAAAGAAGATTTTTTAAGTTTTTACTATATGCAAATATAGGGAAAATCTATGACCCCCCGGGGCGAGGCCAATTTTGACCCCAGGGCTTTTATTTGAACAAACTTGGTAGACACCTATTAGAACATGTTTGATGCTCAATATCTTAGCCATAGCTCTTTGAGTTCTTTAAAAAGAAGTTTTTTTAAGTTTTTTA